ATATATATATATATATATATTAAAATCTTTTCTGTATTATATTTAAGGTTTTAACAACGTAATGTGTACTAAAACCTTTGATTAACAGAGACTCAGATAAAATTTATGGACAAATGTGACCAAACCAAAGTCAAAACAGACTATAAAATATTAGTTATTCAATATATATTTACAATTTTATTGTTCCAATATAACGCTAATAAGGTAATACTGTTCAGGTAGTTTTGCTGTTTTTTCCCCATAAATTTCCTTAATTCCATAAAATATATAATTTATTAGCAAAATTAATATCCTCGAATCATTGGCGTCAATACCGAATATTACTTCAAATATATTAGATTTTTTTTCTATCTTCGTTTGTTTGTAACTAAGCACAAAGCTACACAATGGGCTATCTGTGCTCTGCCTACAGAGAGTATCGAAACCCGGATTCTATCGTTGTGAGTCCGCAGACACACCGCTGTGCCACTGGGGGGGGGGGCAAAGAGGAATATGACAATAATAATTTTTGTTTGAAATTAAGCACAAAACTACACAATGGGCTCTGTGCTCTGATCACCACGGGTATCGATACCAGGTTTCAAGCGTTGTAAGTCCGCTGTGCCATTGGGGGGCCGAAATATATTCAATTACTTAAATGATCAACGTTATTTAGTACACAATTAAAATCATTATTTTAAGAGCGATCAACTGTCTTACGATGGTGAGCATGTCTGGTGGGACGGGATTCGAACCCGAAATTTACAGATTGCGCTTCATGCGCCCTAACCCCCTGGCCAAGCAGGGCCTACTTCTATTTTCGTAGAATCGATCTTTATAATACACTTCAGAGGCTTCTCTGTCTTGTTCAATACAACAGTTGTTTTTAATCTGTTTATTACTGTTCTTACTTTTTAAAATCCATGGACTTGGTCACGACGTGCTCGAATTCCTGGAAAGACAACATTCCGTCTTTATCTAGGTCTGCAACCTCCAAAATACTGTCTATCAAACTGTTGATCTCTCTCTCGTTCATCTTGGTGTTTGTCAGTTTGTTTACTAAAGTTTCGATGTCCTCCCGAGACAAATAGCCGTCTTCATCAAAATCTAAAATGATTTCACGAAGAGTAAATAGCTAATTGATCGTAATCTGCTTAATTTAGCAGTGAACAATACTGAGCTTTATATACTCGTACTGAAGAAAGTATTCTTATTAATAATGTGGTATGTTCGTGAAATATGTACAATTAAATCTTTATTGCAGTCCTAAAACAATTGTAATAACAATCAAAAAAAAAAGCTCTGCCTCTTAGTTCAAATATCTATGTTTTCAAAACTTATTTCATGGCTTGTATTCAATGTAAGGATGGCGATATTTACCATAAACGCGGAAAGCATACTCCGCCTTCTTTCGAGGATGAGCGTCATCACTCAGGACAGATATCATGTCCAAAAAATCTTCAAACGATAACTTATCATCATCTTGCGAGGAAAATACTTTGCACAAACGATCCGCGAATGGGTTATTCTGTAAAATACAATATCACCGAGTTCTAAATAGAGAAATGAATAAAACAAAGTTGGGGAAAGGAGACCAAATCAATAAGTGGGGTCCCAAATCAGAGTTTGAGGCGAACATTCCTTTCCCTGTCTGTCTCTTCACTTCAATTTTCTCGCAGCAAACAATGATTATAATTACGTTGCTGAAGACTCCAACTGTGTCCATCATGTTTTGGTATACTGCAGTCAGAGAATGCAGAAGACCCAGTGAGTTGACCAGCTGCCGGTGGTTTATTGGATTGAAATGAATGTTGTTAAGCACAAAACTACGTCATGGGCTACCCATCACGAATATTCGGACCGATATTTAGCGTCGTAAGCCTGCAAACTTACTGCTGAGTCATTGGGGACACCGGTGATTTATTAATTAAGATAATAATGTGATAACTGTTATCCTGCGTTGAAAAAATAATGTTTATTAACAACAGAAAATATCATAGAATAACAATTCCCCATGACAATAACTATTTTTTTAACACAGACCTTGTTTCACTGAGTACAATATAATAAGTTTTTTTTACCAACTGTTTATGAAAATGCTTGAATAAAAAAGGAAAACAGAGTACTGGGTAGTAAATAATAAAATATGTTTTCAGTTTTGAAGCTACTATAATGACAGTCAACAAGATTCTTACGTTTTTTCGTGATTAATCTTTAAAATTTATTTTTGCGTAATGGGAATGATGTAGTAATGTTAAAATTTACAAGCACGTATACGTTATAAACATTGATTAATTATCACAGACTTAAAAAAAATGAGAAGTGTGTGTACCTTGAACTCAGGCAAGTTGAGTATCGTTTCTGCTGGAATCCTTATATATTTATCTTTTTTCACGCCTGCTGGATCCAAATTTGTAAACACTTTGAAAGTACTGAAAAACAATCAAACTGAGTTTTTTTTTATTATACAAACATTTATTGTTTAAAAAAAACGAGGCTAGTTTGTGTAAATCTACGCTTTTCATAATGAATGTTTGTTTGTTATGAATTTCGCGCAAAGCTACACGAGAGCTGTCTGTGCTAGTCGTCCCTAATTTAGCACCCACCGCCAACTCTTGGGCTACTTTTTTACCAACGAATAGTAGGATTGACCTCACATTATAACGCCACCACGGCTGAAAGGGAGAGCATGCCTGGCCATCATAATGAATGAACAAGACTGAAAACAAACAATAGCATTTCGAATTATAACGAAAAATTGGGGGTTTAATTCGAAAACAGAAACGCTGGTTTAAACAAAACATTAACTCACGCTTGAATCGAAGATCAACTACATTTCAATCACACTAACATTCGCCAAAAAAAAAACGAATTGTGTACCTGAGCGTGTATCTTTGACCCTGAGAATGTTTGTTTTGTTTTTGAATTTCGCGCAAAGCTACACGAGGGCTATCTGCGCCAGCCGTCCCTAATTTAGCAGTGTAAGACTAGAGGGAAGGCAACTAGTCATCACCACCCATCGCCAACTCTTGGGCTACTCTTTTACCAACGAATAGTGGGATTGACCGTTACATTATAACGCCCCCACGGCTGACAGGACTAACATGTTTGGTGTGACGGGGATTCGAACCCGCAGATTGCGAATCGAGTGCCCTAACCACCTGAGAATGTAACCAATAAAATCAATTTATTAAACAGATAGATTTTATTAATTACAAAGTTAAAACTGAAAGTAGAAAACACGCTTGAAATAGTCCTAGAAAATATTTGATAAGAGATCATTTTATATGTTTTTATAAGTCGTTTCGACAGGTAACATTTTTTTTGTAGCTACGTCTAAGAACATTTTCCGGTATTACTTTCCTCTATAGAACTATTTTTTAACAGTTCGTATATTTGGGGTAAGAACAAAACTGAAGTCATAAAAATCGCCACCTATGTTTATGTCAAGAATAATAATACAGAAATAACGCAAGAACAACTTTACTCTAATGTTTGTTTGTTTGTAGTTAAGCACAAAGCTACACAATCGGCTATCCGTGCTCTGCCCACCACGGGTATCGAAACCCGGGTTCTAGCGTTGTACTACTCCAATGAAATGAAAAAGTTAAGATACGCGATAATTGGATAAAAACAAAACAAGATAAAATGTATGTTGTAAAGTTCGAATGATATTCGTATTTGTTGGTATTCAAGGATATTCCGACTGGTATTCTGACTTTGAGCCACCAATTATACAGAAATTGTATTAAATAATAACACTGCCTAGAAACTCAGTTAGTCCACGAGCTCAGTTTCTTACTACGCCAAAGCGTTCCTTCTGCTACTTCCAGTACAAGTGAATACCAACTAATATATTAGGTCGTCAAGAAATTAATGTCGCGTTTTGGAACACTTTCATTAACCACCCCCCCAAAATCGTACATAACGTATAATGGTCAGACGAACCACCTAAACGTCACGTTAATGTAGCCTATATAATGTGTAAAGTTTAGTATACTCTAATCCCTTACAGTGATGGCATAAGACGAGACACGCATTCGACATGTAATGCCGTTTGAATACAAAAAAGGGAAACAACGCATCTGTAGCCACAAAGAATATCAAAGAAGTTTATGGAAATGTTTTGAACGTTCGTGAGTGTCAACGATGGTTCAGTGAATTTCGTTCCGGTGACTAGCCTTAAAAACTGTGATGGCAGGG